ATTTATTTGATGGAGAAAAGACACAAATGATATAAGATTTTTCTTCTTTCTGCTGCCTTTCATTTCATTTTATTAGTTTTTTTTATATTTTATTTATTTTTATTATTTTATTTTTTTAATGAAATGAAATTAATAAATGAATATTTAAATAAATGATTACTGGAATGGCAAATGCCTATTAACCTAACTATTAACATTACCCATTTTACCCCAGTTAAAAATAAAATTTAACAGTTGAACAGTTAAACATTTATTCCAACACTGATTGTATTGGTTCAAAACAGCATTCAAAAGTCTTTACTTCAACTACATTTGACTACATTTTTCATTATGACTTCAGGTCATAAAGTCAGAGGCAGCTCCTGCGTCACCTCCAGCCGGCCTCTGACTTTCTGACCTCAATAAATTGGCCTAAATGGAACGTTCTTGTGTTAGCTGGGAACCAAYACCAAGTAAAATATTTAAATGTTTTACGTGCATAAAAGTTAGTCTGATGCGTCCATTAAACAGAGCACTTCACTGCACCTCAGACCTGCATCCAGACTCAGAGAGGAGCCGTGCAGCAGAGCAGGAACCTCAGAGAGCTGCAGAGCTGCAGCTTTGCGCTCTGCGGCTCCGACCGAGCAGTTATCTGAAAAAAGCAACAGAGAGACTCCATTAGGTCATCCGAAATCCCCGACTTGACATCAGCTCGGAGCAAACGAGTCGGACGACGACCTACCAAGTTTTCTCAGGCTGGGCATGGCGTGCACCAGAGAAGAGCGGTAGTGTGGGCAGCTTTTGGCCAGAGGGTTGAGCCTGAGGTCCAGCTCTCGTAGAACCGGGAGCTCGAACAGCGCTGTGACCTCTTCTAGTGAAGGCACGCAGTTATAGTAGAGGATCAGCCTCTCCAGCATCTTCAAAGGTTGCACGCCCTGAGAAGAAGAAGCGGTTCAGTTTTAGGCAAGAATGGGACCTTTTTAACCCCTGAACATAAGTGAGCGAGAGTGTTACTTAGCTTATCTCTTCAGTGTATTTAATAAACACAGACGTTGTAAAACAATGTTTTTAGAAAACAACAAGACAATGAAAACTACACATAGGCAGTCATTTTGAAAACTATGCATCAACTGTTGCTATAGTCATGGTGTTTCTGTGTACATAAATGAGGAAGTGTCTGTWGCCTKTGTTTTTAGGGTTATTAACAAAGTTTGTGTAYTCAGACCAGTAACATTTGGGGTCACGAGTTTTTGCCATGAATATTTTGTGGGTCAGAAGATAAAAYGTTTGGGAGCCACTGTGACAGGAGACGGTATATTAAAGGAGCAAACCTCCACAGATACGAGAGCATTGTAGGACAGATCCAGAGATTTCAGACGGACGAAATCATTCAAGGCGTTTCCGAGATGTCTTATCTTCTCCTCACATGTCCCCGGAAGGCTCAGCGTCCGAACACTGCCTGTTTAAAAACAATTAAAATAAAAATCAAAGCAAGTCACGGTTGATGCTACGTATGTTTGTTAGCTCTGGCTAGCCCAGTTTGTTGATGCTAAAGAGTCTTAGCCTGAGCTGAGATTTTTCTTTTTTTCCCAGCAACAAAAGCTAAACGACTACTAACATTGGATCTTTTTAATCCTAAATGTCGCCTCCTGTTAAATAATCTTACCGAGACACGGGTGTTTTAACTGTAATCTGTCGCGAATCCATTGCTCTGTTAGTGTTGTCAAACACWCCGCCGCCATACTTTTCGAACTTTTGATACGGTTAGGTTCTGTCGGAAAAACGATACTCCATCCTTCACTCCAGTAAATACAGGATGATCATTTGAAAAACAAACTTTACAGTTGTTTCTAGAATGATATATTCTAAATATATTGCATCAAATATCATGTTTTTATTTTTATTTTACATAAACATTAAGTGAAGAAATCACAATTTTCAAATTGTTGTGTTTGGCTAAGAAAACATATAGCTTTCATTTGAATTAAAGATACTAACGCTAATAATACATGCCACAGGATACGATATTTCTCATAAAATAAATATACTAAACATCCGTATACATTTAATTTAAATGAGGAAGTGGAAAAGTTTGATGCTTTACGTGTAACATCGAACGCCTCATCAGGAGCCTGCGCCTGCGCATTGTGTCACGTGTGAAAACAAACGAACTGTTGTCCCTGCTTGCTAATGTTTGCTCAAAGTTTAGCCTCGTACTTTTAATATTTTCATGAACGACTCAGTGACCGGGAGTCAGATATGTGAAGCAGCTTTAACACCAGACATAAAAAGGAATAATTTAAACTCTCTGACGCTGTTAGGGTCGGTGTTGGGCAGCAGGTTAGCCGGGGTTGTGCCTCCAGTCATCGGGATCCATGGCGGTCTGTGCAGCAGAGTGGGTCACAACTTGTTCTAACATCATCTTGTCCGCCACGGCACTGCGGTCTGCCTATAAACTTTTCAAGGTAGATATTTTTTTTGAAAAAGTAAACAGACTTAACCTGTAGTTTTCTGATGTTTAATAAGTTTAATAGGTTGATAACTTGAGATCATCATGCGAAAATGCAGTCTGAACACAGAGTGGTGAATTGCTAAACATTTCCTGATAAAGCAGCTAAAAATAGCAAAAAACTAAACTTTGCTTGATGCTACCTAAAGGTTTTTAAATGATAGCTWAAATATCAAAAGGTTAGCAAGATGCTAAACAGCAAAAAGCTGGCTAAAAAACAAAATTATAAAAGTTAAAAGGACAACTAAAAGCTTAAATTAGCAGCTAAAAGCAGCAAAACAAAAGCTAGAAGTAGCTAATTATTAACTGAAAGCTTACGATAGCGAAATGCTAGATAACAGTGCCAACATGCTTGCAAAAATAAGTAACAAAAGCACAGCTAAAAGCTAAAAGTAGCAGCGGTGAAGCTAAAAGTAGCAAAAGCTAACTGAATGTTGCTAAATGACAGCTTAAAGTAGCAAAAGGTTAGCTAAAATTACCAACATGACTGCTAAAACTGTAACAAAAGGACAGATAAATGTTAAAAGTTGCAAAAAGCTAAAAGAGGCAGCTAAATGCAGCAAAAGGCCAGCTAAAAGTAACAACATGCCTGCTAGAACTAGTTTGTTTGTTTGTTTCAATCATGAAATGAAATATGGATACAAAACAACAAGTAATCCAATAAAAAAATTAAAAAAGTCATGTTGTAACAAATGTAATGCCTAAAGTTCAAAATGGTAAATAAAAGTAGCATAAGGCCATCCAAAAGACACAGAAAAGTAGCTAAATACACCAAAAGGCTAGCTAACATAAGTGTCATATAAAACATTCATTATAAYGATTCAGATAAATTAATTATAAAATGTTTCAAAATAAAGCTTAACCATAATGCTGAGTTTAGTTAAATAAAAATATTTAAACTTAAACATCTATAATCAATTACTGTGGTTTCACAGTTAAGTCCAAGCAGTGATTTACATCAAAGCACAATAAAACATTGTAATAACATTTTTTTTGTGTTTTCGTTTTTATACGTTGATATAATTACGAATAAAAGAAGATTATTCTGTTTATTATCTGATTAATAAGAAGAAAGCGTCTCTTTACTGTTTAAGAAAACATGTGATAGCTTTAACTTGAACAGTTTTGTCTCTTTAAAGGAGGTCTTCTGAGACCAAGGTCAAAGACAGGTGGAACTGTTTACTCCACCCCTAGGTGACCACTACAAGACAAAATGGAGCAAGTTTGCTGAAGCAGATTTTTAAGGGGAACATTTCAGTRTATTTCTACAAGGCAAACATTTGTAACTGACGTAAAATAGTTTGTAARATATAAAGGTGACAAAGACCAAAAGTCAACACACCTTTCTCCTGAACCAGATGAAAGTTCTGATATGCAAATGGAAAAAATAGCACAAGTGTGTAGTTTGAAAAACAAAACAGAAGGATTGAAAAATAAGTTAAAGGGKCAATATCATGTAAAATCAACTTTTTTGAGTTTTATGTCATGTTATAATGTTATACTCTCATAAAAAACATGCCCAAAGCCTTGCTTTGACTCATTCATGCATGTTTGAGAAATCCTGCAGYGTTTTTAGGAAGCCATGCTGAGGAGCAAAACGACAGGTGGGGACCAGAAACGCGCCTTGGACGTGTCTTTAAGCCGAACTTTCTCATGGCCGTGTCCATGACTCCTGCAGACTCTCGAGTGAAAGTGAAACTTAACTGTCTGCTGAGATCTCAACATTAGTTCTCACTCAGTGAAGCTCTTTTCAGATTAAAAATACCTTTGAGGAAATGTATTTTCAGATGCCAAGTAAACTGCATCATGGCAGCCCGCACCGAAATGGGCAGGACAGARKCGGAAGGTGGTTCTTAAAGAGACAGAGGCCAATTTCAAGGCGTTTAGAAGAGGAAGTGATGAGAAGATAAGTTTATTTTCTATTTAAACATAAAAACAGCATTTTAATAACAACTAAAGGTGACATAGATTATTATGGTATAGTATTTAAATATATGCCTGAGAAACACATAATATTGGCCCTTTAAGCACCTTTKTTCAGCGACCTTCAGTGCACATATTTTGTTAAACACATATTTTCTAAGATGTCTGTTTTCTTGCAGGACCACAGGGCCCCCTCGGTTGGCTTCTTCCTGCTCGGCGCCTCTGCAATTCTTTCCGTCCTCCCCTTCAGCTCGTCCCTTCAGAGGGATGCTGAGTGGGCCGGGGAGGTTCTGGCCCCGGCTCTGGTTTCCTTTGACTTCCTGTGTCTCAGTCGGGACCAGAACACGGCCCGKATCCTCCTGTGCGGCTCCTGCCTGCTGCTCGGCCTCTCGGACCGGCTCTCGGCCGACACGCTGGCCGTCCTGACCCGCTGCCTGGGCCTCTCGTCTCTGTCCTGCTGCCTGACCGTGTGCCTGTTTGCCGGGAACGCCTCGGGGGCCGCGGGCGGCCTGGCGCTCAGCCTTCCGTTACTCGTGGGCCAGAGGGTGGAAACGAACACGTTTGCTCCTCTGCTGTCTCTGCGCGCCGCAGAAGGACCCTTGAAATGGATTTTAAAAGGCTCGCTGTCGATTGGCTGCTGGGTTTCAACGCCAGCTCTTCACAAGTTTCTTCTAGATGTTACAAACTGATGAAACATTTAAACCAGTAATAATCTGTGTCACTGCGCAGATTATGTGTGGATTAAGGAAGATTAAATAGCTAACTCGACAAATAAGTAAAGAAAGTTGTGCAACAGACGCAAGTTTACCCATTTTCATCTCATCAAAGCTCACAAATCTGGGATTTTTTAAATGTTCTGTTCTGAATTAAATTTGTTGTTAGAACTTKTAAACATAATCTGAGTGAACTGGGGGATGTCACATTTGAGTCTGAGAAACGGCAGTGTTGTATAAAGTACATCAAAGTGATACTTGAGTAAAAGTACAAGTATCTTATCATAAAAATACTTTGGTAGAAGTTCAAATCTTTTCTAAAAATATTACTTGAGGAAAAGTCTTAAAGTATCTGATATTTTTTGTACTTAAGTATCAAAAGTAAATCTCTGACACAAAATTAAGTATTAAAAGTAAAAGTACTGAGTAAAAGTGAGAAGTTAGATTTTCCAAACTGACATTTATTGGGAGGTGACTTCTCCAAAAAATATTTTTGATGATGGGTTGTGTACAAGCTAATGTGTCAGAATGTTTATACTTCTCATCCAACCACAATTAAATTCACTCTATCCAGGAGACACAATTTATCAGGGTAGTATTTTTT